GTTCATTAACTTGACGATTTTTGCCTTTCAAACAGAGACGACTGAAGTTTCAGGTTAGCCCTGTCACTGTGTCCAGGTGTCTCGGAGCTAGAAAGACCACAGGCAGAATTCTCCCCATTTCCCCACCTTCCTGCACTCATCTGGCTTGTGCGGCTTTCTATTTCAGAAAGGGGGTGGGGGGCTGAGAAAACGAGCTCCAGGTCCTGGGGCCCCCTCCCTGCTTCAGGAGCTGCACCTGAGCCCAAAGCAGGAGGCAGCCTCAGGGAGTTTGCTAAGGGGACAATTTTGGAGCCACTCCCGGGGGATGGGACCCCTAGGAATGTTCAGAACCGAGACCCCATTCCTCCTCCCCAGAAGAAAAACAGGGGTGTTTAGGAACCCAACACACAACTCCCGGCAGGGAGGCACCCTCTGTATTTGGAGCTAAGTGTTTATAAAAAGCCAGCCAGAAATGCAGCCTGGGGAAACCAATCAGCTGCCTTCAATACATCACAAACAGGGATGCAGAAACTGGGGCTCCATGTTGGGCTTCACTGCAATCCCCGGGGTGATTTTGTTCCAGAAGAGTGGCATCTGCTTGGGGGGACATTATAAGCTTATTATTTCCGTTCGTAATTTAAGCTTATCAAAGGAAGGGAACTTAAAAACAGTTTTATTATCGCCCAAAGAGAAGGCAATTGCTGCCTTCCACGATGGGCACATTCTGGAGAAAAACAGTGTTCAGGCAAACACATGACACTCAAGGCTCTTTTTGAGGCAGTTATTAAACTGTGTCTTGTTAGCCAGAGTCACGATTTCTGGGGTGTTTTGTTGACTCACGGAACAAGGAGGTCATCTCCCGGGTTGTGTGCTTCTTAAGCCAGCAAACAAAACGTTAAAGACAAAGCTTTTCTTCACCATTTCCCTGACCACCCCCCTTTACAGTTGTAGGACCTAGTATTTCCAGAAAAAGAAAACTTAATTTAGCTGAAATGAATCGCTGGTGTTAATTCAGGCAAAAGGTTGGCATTCTCCTTAATTTAATAATCTTAGGAAATAGACTGACGTAGATTCAGATCGAATTCCAACGATTCATTTCCATGAGGTCTGTTTTTTTAAGTTTAAAAGTTCGATTTTGTTAAAAAAAATGATGACTCTTTGAATTTGCTGTTCAACTAATAAATTAGCACAAATTTAGTTCCAGTCCCCACTAAATTGGAGGCTCACGTGCAGGATCAAGAGGAAAGAGATGCAAGTTAGAAACCCAGATTCGACATATCCCAGCAGACTCCCTCCATGAAAACGACTTTCATTTTTGTGCGTGTGAATTAGTGCATGTGCGTTACCCTCCCTTTTGCCCTTCTCCTTTGAAAACAAGAAATGATGACTTTTTCAGGTCTCTGCTTCCAGACAGGGAGGGCTTCGGGTATTTGAAGTCAGGTGGGAGGCAGGAGTGAGCACTACTAATTGGATGCATCCTGGCGCGCTACTATAAAGGGCGGCCCATGTCACCGCGGGTTTCCGAGTTCGCTGTCTGTGCCTGGCTTGTCTGGGGAGTAAGAAAGGCTCGCTGGCCCGGGTCATAGGTCCTGTCCAGACTGGACTGCAATTCCCTCCACTCGAGTGGACAGTGTGACCTTGATGCTAAATAGCACCTCCCGCTCAGTGGGCCCACAGCGGAGTTGCACACAAGGGCCTCTTCCTCCGTCCAGTTTGGGACGGGTCCCGGGAACACCGGCCCGTGTGGCCAGAGCAAACCCAAACCCCAGCTTGGTCCTCGCCCTGGGACGTGAGCGGGGACTGTCAGGCCCTGAGTGGGACCAGGAGGCAGATGTGCTCCCATTGGCTTCCTGGGCTCCCCACCAGCTCAGCCCTGCTCGGCTGGCCACGGCGGCTGCATCCCAGGGGGCTCACGCTAAGTGTCCTGCTACCTAGCTCCCGCTGGTGTTTAAGTGAAGAATGCCCAGTAATTTTATTTATTTATTTATTTATTTATTTATTGCCCAGTAATTTAGATGTTCATTGACCTAAATTGTGGCTAAGGATGAAGAGAGGGGTGGTTAAGATAGGCATCAAAAATGGACTTTGACTATTTTCTCTTATTTCAAAATTTTATATTCTTAAATGTATTGGAGGCCTTGGACAACAGGGAAAGGCATAAAAAAGGTTTCAATCACCCGCAATTTCCCAAACCAGAGATGAAACCGGTTAACGCTTCTGCTGTATTTCCTTCCAGTCACTTCTCTATAGGCACGTCGGACTCTGTACCTCTACATCTAGATGTAGAGTTAGACAGGAATGACTACAGGGTGCTGCAGGTGCCACCGTCAGCCCTGCTCTCTGGTGGTCCCGGGGAGACGTCCTAAGGACCAAACTATGGGGTAACTGAGAGAGCAAGGGGGGGTGACAGGACCAAGGCTCACCCCCCCATCCTATTTCCCCCCTCCCAGAAGGGGGAAGGCCCGGGCTGGGTTTGGAGGCCCCAGGGAGAGAGGTGGCAGCCCAGCCGGCTGTCAGCCCACCTTCGCCCACGTCCCCCAGCACCTCCCAGCTGCAGGGGCGGCAGCCTTTGTGGGGCCTTTGATCCATGCAAACGAAGTACGTCACAGGCGGGTGCTAGGGGGCGTGGGCTGCTGGGCACACCAAGGGTTGCCAAACTGACAAACACACTCCAGGAAAGCCTTCCCACTCTCGCAGGGCTTCTGTCGTTCAGCCAGCAGCCCCGCCGTCTCACAAAAGACCTGCAGGGGAGACTTGGAAAAATAGGCAGCCCTTCTCTGGGCTGGCCCCTCAGCTCGGACTCAGAGGAGCTCAGAAACAGCTTGCCCCAGGCTGCAAGACCTGTCAGCAGCCTGGCTGGGTGAGAAAGTGGTCTTGCTCTGGCATCTGCCTGCACACAGGGGCTGATTCCTCAACATCGAAGACAGAAAGCTCTTAGTCTTAAACTTATTTCTTCTTGGCAAACTTTTGGAGGGATTAAGGAGAGAGAGCTGAAAACACAAGGATGAGGGAGGCAGCCCACTCCGGGCTCAGCCTTACAGTAAGGGTTCGAGTAAAACCTACCAGACTTTATCGTTTATTCATTCATCAAACCCTTACGATTACCTACCTCTTGCTGGCCCAAGCTAGGGATTGGAGAGTCAAAGAAGAATGAAATCTATTCCAGATGTTGTGGAGTTTAATTTTTAATGGGGACAGACCTATCATTGAATAATTAGTGAAACATGTGTCAAGGGCTACAGTGTCTGAAAAGTCAGAACTATTGGCATATTAAATAGTACTTATCTTTAAACAGAACATTAATTACATTTTCAAGCAATTATGCTCAGTATGGTTTTCTTCAACCCCCTAGACACCTTATCAGGAAGTTCTTTTAAATTTAAAGCAATGAGCCCAGTCGTTAATGTGAAAAAGGACAAGAAATACACTACCGCCTGGAAACACAGAGAAAGTTCTGTATTTCTTGTACCTTTTTTTTTTTTTTTTAAACAAGGTTAACAATTTTGGATCCCTTTCCTTAGAGGGACTTCATCCGAACAGGTAACTGAAGGTTGAAGGAAAACATATCGAATGTATTATTTGAAAATGTAACTAATATTCTGTTTAACAGTAAATTTAACCCATGAATAATAGAATAGAAGCAGGTACCCACTGAAGGGAGATCAGTTCTGCCCGAAGCAAGCATAGTTTTCCCAGGGGGGTAACATCTGAGCTGGGCCTTGAACGATGAGTAAAATTTTGCGGAGCTGGAGAGTCCAGTGGAAGGATGAGTGAAGCACAGGTGACCGGGAAGTGGGGGGTCGGCTCTTCCAGAAGGCTGGCCTGCTCTGTGTTCAGGTGTCAGCAGGACGCTGCCCGGCGTGGCAGGGGGCCTGCTCACCTGGGGTCCACCCACGAGAAAATGCCTTCCCACCTTCCTCCCTCCAGGGCTCAGGGCTCAGGAGCGGCAACATCTCCATCTCACACGCTCGCAGATGGACAGGGGGGTAGGCAGAGAGCCTGTTTGGGAACCTGACACTTTGTCATGGCTCCTCATTATGAAATCTTAAGTAGTTGTCTTCCTGATGACTAGCTTGAGCACTGATCATAGCTGCAAGGAACCACAGAGATCGTTAAATTAACACTCTCATTTTGGAGGCAAGGAAACCAGAGGGAAGGAGCTTCCCCAAGGACACACACACGTTGGGTGATAGCATTAGCCAAGGTGCCCAGAAAAATGGGCTCTCGGGCCTCTTCCAACTCATAGGTTCTTTGATGTGTAAGGGGCAAAATCCATTCATTTTACTGCATTGATGACCACTACGCAATCAGTTCACCAGTCAGCATCTCATTTACCCAAACAATTCTGTAATTACTGAGTCCGGTGATGCCTACCACTGGGCTTCCCACAGCAGCAGAAACAAAAGGCTAGAAGCCATGGTCTTTGACCTTGAGCAACCTGCAATCTAGCTGAGTAGGAAAGGACCCATTAGACGCAATAAAGTGCTCTTTGCACTAAAAATAATTGTTGCAGCCAAAGTTGGTGTGGGCTGGAGCTCTGGTGGAAGGAAGCCAGGGGGGAAGGTGATAGTTGAGAAAGGCTTGGAGGGGCTCATCGGAGGGGCAGAGAAAGGCAGCCCCGGGATGGAGCGCCATGGGCAACATTTGGGAAAACTCAAGCGTGCTCACTTGCAGGCCAGGCTGTGCTGGCGCCCATGCTCCGGCACTTCTCACCTTCCGGGCTTGGTGGCTGATTTTGTTCCTTCTCCATCCAGCATAAACCAGTGAAGGATGTACAGGGGCCAGATGCCAGCTCCATTTTGGCTGCAACATTTCTTTGTTCTTTCCTTCTTTGCTGGTTATTCTGGTCTGTTTGGAAATTGGACTTGTTCTCTGTGACTAGCCCTGCGAGGCGGCTCAAGCATGCAGTGGGGTGCCCAGTCACCCCCATCCCATTTACACAGCCCTGAGGAAAACTCAGAGTCCCTGAATGACCCAGAGCAGCTTATGGCTCCCACCCAGGGGCACAGAACACGTCTGAGATGGCGCTGGTGCAGCGGGAGCCGCCCAGCCCAGCTCCCGGGCCTGCCCAGGCCAGCATCTCACACGAGCCCACCGCCGTCTCCCAAGACCCAGGTGGCTGCGAGGTCTTCCTGGCGGGCCCCCAGCAAGCTGGTCCACAGCAAATGCCTGGATGTGACAAAGGCAGGGCAGACGGAGCAAGAGAAATCCCAGGACTGTCCTCCTTAGTGTATTTCAAACACTCTTAGGTACCAGGTGATGTCCACACGAGATTACACATGGGCGCCAGTAAATGTGGGGGATGAACACAAGATGGATCGGCCATGTGAAAGCCATCGTTCCCTCAGGGGTCCCTCTGATGAGAGAGGGAGTGTGTGAGTGTCGGCCGGTGGTTCGGTGTCTACCACAGAGAGGTCTCAGGCTGCCCTCCCTCAGAGAGCAGCCTGTGGGGCGGATACATTCGCAGAATCTTCCACAGCCAGCCAACCCAGAGAGCAGGGGTCCCCAAAGCATGGTGTACATGAGAACACGGGGGAGCGTGTTAAAACACAGATCCCAGAGACTCTGATTCAGCGGCTTCAGGGTAATTCTGACGCAGGCCCCAGACCAAACTGGGGAGCACGGCAGAGGACTCTGCTACAAGCCAAGAGGAGTAAAGCAGCCCTTCTTTGCCCAGGAACTAGCTCAACTGACTTTTCCTGTCTTCCTAAGTCAAAATTCTCTGCATCTGTACTTTTCATAAATACCTTGTCACGGGCCCTGGGCAGCTCAAGTCAGAGAAAAGCGGAAAAAGCCAGCATTCACTTAACTGCTCGGCCCGGGCCACCCCAGCGTGGCTCCTCACTGCAGCCGTGGCGCGGGAGACAACAGCGCCCAGCATGCGGGCAGCCCCCGCGAGTATTCTCGAGTGTTCTCGGAGCTCCGCGAGCAGCGGCCTGTCGTGGCGGGGGGGGGGGGGGGGGGGGCGGCGATCCCATCCCCAGCTCGGCACCTGCTTGGGCCGGCTTGCCGCGATAGCCCGGAAACTGAATGCTCGCGGGGCTCCAAAAGGAAAGCCGCTGTCGATTCTGAGCGTGGCAGCTTGACGACATCTGGAGTCCCCCTGTACGAGAGCAGAGAGACCCCCGGGCTTCCTCGCTGTTCTGAGCCGGGGGAGGCGTGTTGCCGGCGGAGGCCCAGCCCCGGCCGGTTGCCGCGCGTGTCTCGCGCCTTCAGATCGGGCACAAGGGCGGGCACGTGTGAGCATTTGCTGGGTGAGCCCGAGCGGGACCTTCTCCCAGTCGCCGTCCCCGCCCCCCAGGGGAGACCCCCACAGCGCTCTCTCCGACCCCAGCCCCCGCCGCCCGAGAGCTCCCGGGGCCCCGGGCGACTTCTCAGCGCAGAGGGCTGGGGCGGTGCGGTTCGGGGGAAAGGGACCGCGAGTGGGGGCGGGCGCCTGAGCCTGTGAGCAGCTTAGATGGGAGATCACGGGCGATAACCCAGGCCCTGGATGGCAGCTCAACAGGAAACCTCGAGGAGGAGCGGCTGCGGGCAGGAGGGGCGGGGCTGCTCCCTGTAACCGCACCGAGGGCCTGGGGGGGGACGCGCCGCGGGGGAGCCCGCCCCGGCCGCGTGCGGAGCAAGGGCCCCCCGCGCCCTTTGCCTGGTCCCAGGTTTTCTCCTTCTCTTGGCCAAGGCTGTCATTGAGGAATTTGGTCGGTGACTTCGGGGCTGGGGCCCGGCGCACCGGGGCTTTGGGTGTGGCTGCGGGGAACCACCTGAGCGCGCCTGGGGGGGCCTTTGACGGGCCCGAGCAGGAGTGGCCCCCGCTCAGACCGCGGCTGCTGGGGCTGGGCAGCGAGTGTGAGCGCGGCCACCTCTGGAGAAGCCTCCGGAGCCCCTCGTTCTTTTCCTTCCCCTTTCCACGAGGGAGCCCAGCACCCACGGCAGGGCAGCGAGCACCGCCTGGGAGGGCCAGGCTCGCCTCTTTAAAATCCCAGGGAGTTGTTTACTCTGGCCCATGAGGTATTGGTGTCTGGTTTAGAATCAAAGTGGCATTTCCTCCCCACCTCGACCTCTGAGAAGCTTGGTGCAGTGGGAAGCTGCTCCCCGGGGCTGTCTCCTGCGCGGGCGCCCAGCCTGCCACAGGATCCTGCGGAGTGAGGGGCGCAGGGCCCCAAGAGGGGGACAAGGTACGGTCCCCGGCTCAGGAAGCCCCTGGCTGAAGACGGCATCAGGCAAGCAGGTTTCTGCTCCGGGTGCTAGGGGAGCCCTGAGGACCCACCTTCAGGGGCCTGGGGCATGCAGGACAGCTCCCAGGGGACTGGGGAGGCTGCAGGTACAGCTCCCCCGCACCCCCCCCCCCCCGGCCCCATGGCCTTCCTTCAGTTGGCCAGGCAGCTCAGCTGCGGTTGGTCCAGAAACCGGCTTGGTCTCTGGGGGGCCCAGCTCCCCGAGGGCCGTGGCCCTGGCTGGGCAAGGCCGTGGCCAGAGCTATTTTCATCTCACTTGACCTGCCAGACTGGGCTGGTGCTCGTGTGGGTGACGGGGAAGGAAGGGATTTGGCCTCTCATTCCTGCAGCTCTGGGTAATAATAGCATCAGGAATAATCATGCTGTTTGCCAGCCCTAATTGTTTTCATGTTCATACAGAAATGGAACCATATTCCCCCAACACCATTCTAGTGATAATTTCTATATATTGGAGATACTTGCAAAACCCCAGTAAATCATCACCAGAAATGCACTGAGCCGCAGCCTAGTTGAAGGTGCTTTGCTGGGTGGATGAGTCCCCGTGCCTCAAGTGTACAAAAATATAATTTTACCATTTTAACCATTTTTAAGTGTACAATTCAGTGGCCTAAAGTTGTTGTGCAATCATTATTACCACTATCCATTTCCAGAACTTTTTCATCATCCCAAACAAAATCTCTGACCAGATAGAGATTTCTGTATTATTATACGTACACAGCCTATATATCTTTTTTCTTTTCCTTTTCTTAAAGATTTTATTTATTTATTTCAGAGAGCGAGATAGCGAGAGAGGGAACACAAGCAGGGGGAGTGGGAGAGGGAGAAGCAGGCTCCCCGCTGAGCAGGGAGCCCGATGCGGGGCTCGATCCCAGGACCCTGGGATCATGACCTGAGCTGAAGGCAGACGCTTAACGACTGAGCCACCCAGGCACCTCTTTGTTTTTGGTTTTTTAAACTGCTAAGCATGAATATGCCAACATTTACTAATTAAGCGCATAGCTGGTGGATGTTTATGTTGTTTCCTTTTTTTCTTTTTTTGCTCCCGCAGATAATTAGGTAATAAACATCCGTGTCTGTGTGTGTGTGTGTGTGTGTGTGTTTACATGCGCGTACTATGAAGGTTTATCTGCCGAATAAATTAAAGTCTCAGAGAAATGGCAAAATCATGCCTGGAATTTTGACATGAGGGGGTTTGATAGAGTGGATTTCTTTTAAGTAGTGCTGATGTTCAAGAGCATAATGTGGGTTCTGTGTGCTGTGTGAGGAAGAACAAAGGCCTGGCAAGACCTGGCCTCTTATCCAGGCTCTGCTACATATACACCTCAGGACCTCCCTGACCTTCAGTGTCTTTATCTGCAAAGTGGAATAAATAAGATCTGCCCAGATCAACCAGTCACGTTGGCTCAGGGCCCACCCTAGTCATCATTTTAACTGAATTACCTCTGTGAAGGCCTCTTTCTAAATACGGTCACATCCTGAGGCACTGAAGGTTAGGACTTCAACATATGAATTTTTTGGGGGGGGGACACAATTCAGCCCATCTCAAAGAGCCTGGTGATGAATATGTGTTACTGAATGATGAAAGAACACAAGAGTGAAGGGATTTGCATCTGTTCAGTAGAAATAAACCACGTTCTGTGGGCAAACCATAGCTCGGTTTATGGGGCAAGGGCAGGAAGAGATAAAGATTGCTATATTCAGGTGAACACAGACTGTGGATGGTTTTTACAGGGCAGTCGGCATCCTGGCGGCAGAGCCTGGATTTTAGGCCTGTCCTGCAGGCGTGCCTGGGTAAAGGCAACCATGAGCTGGATTTATTCCAATTGGCTAATTTTTTCTTTTAAATTTTATTCACATTCTCAAAACTACAAAAATAATGTGTATTTGTTGTAAAAAGAGAAAACCCTGCAATTGCTCGCCATCTCATTCGGAGTAAAATCCACTGACTGAGAAGGTTCTAACTAATTCCCCCACCCTCCTACCCTCTGACCTCATCTGCTAGCACTCTCCCTCTTTCCTGCCACCCTGGCCACATCTACCTCCTTGCTGTTCAGAGACACCAGGCCTGGATCCACCACAGGACCTTTGCACCTTCTCGTCCTCTGCTGGGGCGGGGGAGGGGGGCTTCCTTCACATGTCTTCACAGCTGAGGCCTTCTGATTCTCCGTGAACAACGGGGTCCTTCTCTCTGTCCTTTTGTACTTTTAGGAGTGAGTAACCAGCAGTGAGATTGAGGGTCTTTTTATATGCTCTCAGCAGTTTGTTTTTCTGCCTCTAAGGATTACCTGTTTATATCTTTTGCTGAATTTTCTCTTGGATTAGTTATCTTAGCTTTCATTTTTCAAAATTTTATTGATTGAATTCTAAACCTGTAGAAAGCTTTAGGAGTGAAACTGTTCATCACAGAGTTATTTACACTGATGAAAAATTGGAAACAGCCTTCAATGCAGAAATGGTAAATAAGTAGTGGAAGAATTGTTATACAACAGTTAAAAAGGAAATTCAGTAAACCTATGAAATAGCAGGAAACGTGAAATATAAATATGTGCAATAACATGAAAATATAATGTTAAATTATAATATAATACTAACAGGAAAAAAATAGAGTTTTTTTCAGGGAAAAAATTTTTATGTAGAATAATTATAATTTATAAATAATGAACACCTTGGAAGGCAATCTGCCATCAGGTGAAGAGTGGCTGTGTTTGAATGTGGTATTATGGGTGATTCTGATTATCTTGTACTTTCTTGCACTTTCACAATGAGTTGATTTACTTGAAAATAAAAACAAAAGTGATCGTAGGTAAATTTTAAAAACTGTTGCATGAATCATAACAAATGTCATGGAAGTAGTAATACCAGCAGGGAAATATTCTCCCAGAATCCTGTTACTTCTAAGAAATCAAACAACTCCCTTTCTTCCCCTTTGCCTTGGAATCCTAGTCTATGGGATTATAAAATCTGTAGGTAGTTAGGACCGGATATTTAGCTTCACAGTGAAACATGAGTATTTGAAATTCAACATTTGAGGGGGAGGGGGGCTGAGGAGGCTGTGCCAAATTAAAGTGAGTAGCAAGAAATTATGTGGTTCCAGTATATTATGCAAACTCATTCTGCAGGTCAAGGCTGTCTCCAGGTGGGTCAGCCTCCACAGGATTGGCCGGCGTAGCCTCACATATGGTAGCGGGCCATCTGTACCTGTTAATCCTGTAGGCCTCTCAGCATCCTGCCCCCTCAAAGAAAGAAGGCCAAGTGTGGGGTCAGAGACACACCTGCTAATGGGGTGTGACCCTCAGAGAAGGAAGGACTCCATCCACAGCCTTGAAAGGAACCCCTCTGCCCCAGCCCTGAGGACCAGGAGGTGGCTCGAGGTCAGTAAGTGGTCCAAGTGGTGGCTAGGATTCTGGACCAGATGGTGTCTGGACTACAGCTCTAGACAGGCCTGAGCTCAACCCTGGCTCTAGACCTTTGGCATGGTGTGAACCTCTCTGAGCCTCAGTTTCCCCAGCTGCAAAGTCACTGTCACTGTAAGGACTGAATGAGAAAACTCACATCTGCTTCGACTGGTGGTTATCATCATTACCCAGTGTGTCTGTCTTTCCTGCTGCAGTGAAAGCTAGTTGTTTCATGAAAGGGAGCAAACCCCCTCGCAGGGGAGGTCTGGGTGCCCCTGCTGCTGTGGTCCATGAGCTGGGCATTAGCCCCAGCACAGGCACCCCAAAACTGTTACCACTGCCTTCCTGAACACACATGACTTCCTGTTTTCTAAACTCTCAGCCTGCAATGTCATCGTCAGTCCGGTCTGAGTCTGGGGGTGGGGCTGGGCTGCCGAAGCCCCGAGGGCTCAAGGTTAGGGCTGCAAAAGGCAGTCAGGTGGCTGGGAATCCGGCTGGTCCTACCTGAACTGTGGTCTTTGTGATGAATATGGATGTCATGAGCGCCTATGTACTGAGAGCTTACCCTGTGAGAGAGCTATGGAATGCTTCCACAGAGGGTTAAGTGCCAGAGCCAAGGCTCCTACTCAAGTCCTCTACCTCCGAAGGATTGGCTCTTGCGGTGATGCCTAAGTCTTTCCTATTAAGGGGGAGACCAGCTGGATATGGGTGAGATTTTTAAAGGCTGCCTTATAGGAGTGGGAGAATCTGTGTTCTTTGTGCTTCTGAAGGCAGAACTAAGACCAAAGCTGTTTTGTTTTATGGGTGTTTTTTTTTTTTTAAAGATTTTATTT